AATTGAGTAATTTTATATTTTTGATGAGCAACAAGGACTCCAAGGCAATTAAATGTATGGGGACCTATCTACTTAAAGCCATGGAGTACAGAAAACTTTAACGTATCTATTTATATTGTATTGTAATTGTGTTGTGTATGGATATATTTATTGCTTCTTTACCAAAAGAAATATTGTAATTTCTAAGGATGCAATAAAACTTGATTATTATTATTAACTGAAACAAGAGGATTCTATTGGCCGATTGATCCAAAGATGTATTACACATTGTACCCATTAATTGGCTGGTTTGATTCAACTTCCATTGAAATTTATAATGATGAAGGAATGCCTTTGTTGCACCAAGGGTAAAATATTTAAATGGTAATGGAAAACAGCTTAACCGATCACAATCTTTAGCGGATGAATACTGCCACAGTACAAAACTCCACTGCAATTTTTTAACCTCTCATTTGACACTGATTTGCTTTCGCAATTTAACGTTCTGTACCAAATGATAATTGTACTACTTTAATTGTACTTGCATTTTTTTAATTTATTCCAGCAATCGCTATCTCCAAACATTTTAAAGGGCGATGGTCGTCGCACTGTGTCCTGTTCAATATGGGACTAATAGCAATGTACATACATGTATTGCTTGTAAAATACATTGTTTGCTTACATGAAATTTGAACACATGCTGCCAGCGGACCGTTATATTTTGAACATCTACATTTGTATTATTTGTGTTAAACATGGCTAGTAAATCCACTTCAGCTATGGGGCATTACCCAATGGTTTTTATAGCCAATGAAAACTTCTTCTTTGAATTTAAATGAAGTGCGAGGGTATATAGGGATAAATGTTTCAGAAACACTTATAAATGTTTCTATGTATAAAACAAATTTGTGCCTTTATGAAATGTAAAGTATTATTCAGATTTACAAATTTCAAATAGCGATTCAAAACAACTTGACCAGCCTTAGCGAATGAATACAACCTGTATAAAACTGTGGTCAGTTAATCTTTAACCTCTCCTTTGACACTCACTCATTTTCAAAATTTGGGATTTGGGATTTTCTCTCGATTCTCTTTTAATCTTCTTCAGGTATGCAAATTATTTAATACGAGTGGAAAGAAACCGGGAAAAACAAATGATTGATCTTCATAGTGGAACACCCTGGGAAACCGTCACGTTAACCTCTGTCGGAAGAAACAAAAAGATATTCTTTGAAATCCTCGATCAAGGTAAATTGTAATGAATGAGGCTGATGATGAGGCAGGTTTTGACTTCAAGGATGAAATACTGGATCTTTTACTGAGTAATGTTCTACCAAATAAATGATGAATTGCATCAAAATGTGTTTCCATGGAATCAATGAATTTGCGATTTAAACTCTAATATGGTGACCATTTTGGATTGAAAAATTAGCAAAATTCATAGAAAAATTAGGATAATAGTTCCAATACTAGTTTCGGTACACATCACCGGCGGAAATCCTCCATGAATAGCAGAAATAAATGGGGAAAAAAATCAGGCAATATGTTAAAACACCCGATCACAAGAAATAATTTAGCAAAATTAAAGTTTCATGAATTTCTGTCTCAAAAGTGGGTTAGCCATGACGATAGTATGTGTGCTCTTGTATTGACATAGGTAGTTTCTTTTGAAGATTGTTTCATATAAACTCACTTTGCAATCTGTGATATTTATGAAAATTTTTATTACAATTTTGTAGACCTTTTTTAACTTGCTTTGAAATTCCTACTACCCGAGTAGGTATAATGAATGTCACAGTATTTAACATTTTTGACCCATTTTTTCACAAGTCCAAAACCATTACAAACTATGTTTGCATTTGAATGTTTGATAATATTATATAATAATGGGTGTACTATAAGTGAAATAGCAACTTAGAAAACATTTACTGATTGGATTTTGTTTAACTAACTCATTAATATTAATTAGAACCTCCTCTGATGCCCCATTACCATCTTTGTATTGATCTATTTGAATTCTAACAGCCATTTTCATTTATAGATTGGTGTTGATGTTTCATATTTTTTAACTAAATACATATAGCTATACTATTACTCAACTATGGTCTCAGATCACCTTATTTTAGAATGAAATATGTCAGTTAGTTCCACTGACATAGAGCTTATAGAGATTGTCTGTCATCATTTGTTGTCAACTTTTTATACAGGTACATCTGCTTGATATTTTGACTGCTTCCGTATTTGGTACATTGTATACCTTGAATTCACAATATCTGTTGTATTGTAATTTTCATGTATTTAATGTTTGGTCTGAACAGATAAAATATTTTTATCTCCATTTAAATGATGCATGTACCTAAGGCAGTATTCTCAGCTTTGTTCTTTTCATGGCAATGATATTAATTTGTAATGCTGATAACAACAACAATAATTTTGATTGTAGCACGTGAGTTAGCTTTGGCGAAACAAGAAGTAAAACCATAATGTACACACCAATGGGAGCAGAATGGAGGCAGTTTGGATATCCAAGAAAGAAAAGGCCATTCACTTCTGTTATCTTGCATAAAGATATTGGGGAA